TCTACACATACAAAGAAATCGAATCATAGACATCCAGTAAGTAAGTCCAGTAATTAAGTTATGTGTAATAATGTGAAATGGCACAGGGAAAAATTATTGAACACAGTTATTGAAAAGTATTTACATCTGCTGAAAATGTAATGTTAATAGCACCTCTAGAAACATATTTACTGAGAAAAATGATGGCCTGTTCGATACTTATTTCACCCGCCATTTATTATTCCCTCAGAGTTTGTGTACCTGATTAGGATCATTATAGTTTTCAATTTCACCACTACCAGTCTTGCATTTATTGTCATTGAAGTCCAAAGAGGAGTAGGGAACACTGGGGAAGTCCTTTTTGCTGGCACTGAACCAGCTGCCACCGGAGGAATGGGTACCCTCTCCACCGCCAGCTCCACACATGTGGTTGATGACAGCATCCACATAAATGTTGACCTGTGTATAGACACTAGTATGATAGTCTGACAAAATCCTAAGGTCAGTTCTCTTTGATGAAAGGACTTTAACCAGACATGTTATTATATACATTGGCCATTAGAAAAAGTAGTTTACCCCAACATTGTTGCATCTGGTGATCATGTCCTTCAGTTGAGCCTCAGTGCCAGATCTTGAGCCGAGGTTGTAGCTAATTGGCTGGTATCTCTGCCACCAGGGCCTCCAGGGATCGTTCACAAGAATGTGCTCATTGGGAGGAGAAATCTGAACAACACAGTACAAAATTATTCATATTAACACACAATCTTTCAGAAAACAGTACCCCATTGTTAATAATGGAGCATTAAAGGGAGTACCCTTGTGCAAATTCAGTTTTCCTAACCATTGTGTGTATTATAAACCTTGTGAAAAAATTAGGAAAAATCACAGTCTGTCTGGCCACTGTTAGTCAAAAATCTTTCAGGTTGTTCTGTCAATTAGCATCAAGTTGCCAGTTTCATGCCCCGTACCACCCTGCCCCTGCAGATTGAAGTGGTTGCTTCAAGGCTCAAGCCTCAACGGGGATTTCACATACAACCTGACAGGCATCTTCTGCTTCCCCAGAGTGCAGGGGAAATTGTGTCCGAGAGTGAGCTAAAAAAATATGCATGTTACAAAACACTTAATTATTATGCAGAATACTCATAAAATCAAGCACATTTTGGCACAAATTTAACTATGTTTAGTGATTACATTTATGAGATTTAAAAATGCATATTTGACCAGTTAATTTAGGTGTGTAAAATGTAATGAGTAAAAGTAACAAAAACATTTTGTGTTATAAAGATGCAGAGCGTGGCTAAGACCCATTTATGATTGTTTTAATCAGTGAATTCAATATCTGGCTGTGCAGAGGTCGAAATATTTTTGAAATTTTTGAAAACTCTCTGAGGTTCCAATTCATGATTTTGAAAAGATGGAGATAGACTCAGAAAAAGATAAAGAAAGCAAGAAAGAAATATACAAAAACATGAAGTACTGAACATAGAGAACATTTTTGATGGTTTCTCTTTAGAAATTTACAAAGCTTTACATTACTCTTAATGTTATTTCAGTAATTTCTATGTTCTTTGTAAGTCTGCGCAGTAAAAAAATAAAACCCCAAAGTACTCCTGACTTTTATGTAATGATAAAAGCTTAATGATAGGTGACTTGCAGCAGCATTAGATAAAAATAAAATTTTGAGCTTTGTATCTCTTGCAATAACTTTCTAAACCTAATGCTCGTGTGAACAT